TTCGCATTAATCAAGACTATATGGTATTGTAGCCCACATAACATACAAAAAAAACTTGGAGAAAATCAATCATCCATAACTGAGGCCTCAATCTTTCAAAATTTTAAACTAGTTGGTTTGAGATTTCATTGACTACGGACCAATATCTTGACATCAAGATTATAAATTTTTTTAGGAACTGTATGAACTGGGGGCTAGGAGAATTGGAGTGTTCAGCGCCCCGCCAATCGGATGTGTGCCGTCACAACGAACGTTGGCCGGAGGAATAGAAAGGGATTGTGCGGAAAATTACAATGAAGCAGCTACATTGTTCAACAGCAAACTATCTCCAGAATTGCATTCCCTGGCAGGAACCTTACCTGGTAGCAAACTTGTTTACATAGACATCTACAATCCTTTGCTCGACATGATCCTCAACCCTCAAAAATACGGTATTTATTTATTTATTTTTTATTTCCTCATGCCATCAACGATCAAACTTAAGTATTGCAGTCGATTAAAAATGAGAATTATTTATGATAATTTGATTTCGTGTTGATTATTTAAGGATTTGAAGAAGCAACCAAAGGGTGCTGTGGTTCGGGGAAACTAGAAGTGGCAGTACTATGCAACAAGTTGGTTCCATCCACATGTGCAGATGATTCCAAATATATATTCTGGGACAGCTACCATCCCACGGAAGCGGCATACAGGGTCCTCATTTCTCAATTGATCGGGAAGTATGTCAACGATTTCTTCTAAGACAGATGATCCATAAAATAAAATTTTTTTTTTTTTTTGAAAAAAAGCTGCGTTCTCTTTCACACTAGTACTTGCTTAAGAAGGTTTATAATGGAACTTAATCATATTTATCTTGGAGAAATCATAATTGTTCGAAGTTTATGAGGAATTAATATTGGTTTTCCTGCAGTGAATTCAAAACTTTATTGAGGCTAATTCATTTCTCTGTAGTATTATATACTTTGTCTTTAATGTAAATCGTTTGGTGGGACACGAGTAGATTTTCTTTTTGGCTGTTTTTTTTGGTTCTGGAGGGAGCAAAGAGACGAGTAATTTGGTTGGCAGTTTGATTACATTTAGACTTCCTTTGTCGGTACTTGGTATAAACTTTTCTCAAATAACACAACTTCGAATAATGAAGATTTAAAATTTTTAATTATTTTTATTAATTTTAACTAATATTAGATTTTTTAAATAGTAAAAAAATTTTAAAAACTCATTACTACAACACAATACAGTACTAAGAAACAAAATTTAATTTGGGGTGAGGGGGCAAATTAGGACTACAGCCACACACTCGCTAAGCACAGTTGGTTAGGGGTGCATGCTCCGCCAGGTTAATAATGTGTGTTCAACTTTCCATTTCCCCTTCCCAAAAATTGTATTAGGTTCAAAAAATAAAAGGAAAAAAAGAAACTGGGAGAAGAGTGGGGTTTCATTTGTTGCATTGTTTTGGTCCGTCAGTACGCGACCACCATTGCCACACAGGTAAATCCTATTGACATGCCACCATCAACATGGTACAGAGAAGATAATTAAATGATTACATGTGTCTAACTCAGAAGCGTTTAACTGAGTTGGTATATAAAAATAAACTCCGAAACTATGATTTTGTGAGTACGAACAACACAGAGGAGAGGATCCATGAAATGAACAAAAGCTATTGTAAAGGGCAAAGAACTCGAAAAACGCGAAAATGTTTGCTCGTGTTGTGGTTTTCAAACTTTAATAACATCCAAATATTCACACTTCAGTAGGTCAAGCATTAAACTCGGTTCATTTTGGGCCACAAACTCCCCGAACTTGAAAGACACAATTCCGTAATTTCTTCGTTTAATTTTCGCTCTGGAAGACTGGAACTATGGGGACACATAAGACGGTGTGACACAGGGATAGATAAAGTGGAAATATATGGATAATTTTTTTATATTATATTTTTATATAATTTTTATATATTATTAAATGAGTAGATGTATTTAATATTATAATTTTTAAATAAAAAATTAATTATTTAAATAATATGTAAAATTATATAAAAAACAAAAAAATTTATGTCAAAATCATTTTTTGAAACACATATATATGCATTTTGGAGAAATTATTTTTTAAATTTGAATTGTATATTTTTGTGGTTGTGGCTGGTACATTCATTTCTATTTCTGAACAACCGTACAAGTTCTCCTTCCACGGTTCAGTCCTTACTGAATCCGACTAACCCCACCTAGCATGATGCTTGCAGACTGCAATTACTCTTCTTTTTTTTTTTTTCCTTTTAATTGAATTGCACAATAAGATGTAATTTTTTTTTTTTTTTAATTTACTTCATTTATATATTATGTTCTTTAAATTTATGATATTTTATTTTGAATAAAAAAATTATTATTAAAGTATTTAAATTGTTGTATGCAATTTCTTTGTCATAATACATATATATGTTGATATGTCTTTGTCTTGTGGCACCAATAGAGAAAACATCCAAATAGTTCGATGGGATTGTCTGAGGGAATTTTTCCCACCGTAAAACATTCTGGACCTTCTGGGGTGATTCTGCCTCGAAATCTCTCCCATAATTAGGAGTAAAGTTGATCGCATTTAATCACATAGTTATTGCTTTTGCCTGGAATCACAGAAGATGATAACCGCAGAAATAGTTCATCTCAGAAAAGCCGACGGAAGTAGAAAGCATTGTGATCCAGAGATTGATACGTTGGGCCTACATCAATCAATGATCTGGGCCTATCAATCAGAAACACTATTCTAAGGGCTTGGAAATTGGGCCTAGTCAAATCTCTCTTCAGGCTCGAGCTCCTGCGGCCCAGCTCTACTTCTTTAGCAAGTGCCCAAGTTTCATAAAATGCTATAATTACGATAATATGTCATTATATAATTAATTTTATTTATTTAATAGATTTATTTATAATATTATATATGTATTTATTTAATATCATATTATAATTATAAATTTATAATTTTACATGATATTATTATTATAATATTACCAAAATACCATTTCCTTCCATACCTAAGGTCTCTTGTTCTCTCATTTTCTGTTATTTGATAAGTTGTCTTTTTTTTTTTTTTTTTTTT